TGGAAACTGATTTGGTGTAATCGGACCCAAATGAGAACTATCTAAATGTTTAAACGTCTCTGTATGTGGTGCTTGTGTAGGGGGAGAATTCAGAACAAGTTTATCTCCCGATAAGTATCCAATAGTTATTTCATCACGATAAAGTAACTATTAGATTCCATGGCATTGATTTGTCCATGCCATTGTAATGCCACCAGAATAAATATTGTGTGTGGCTTTCTAAATTAATTCATGCTTAATTAGTTAGTTCAATAAGCCTTTTGCCTAGATTCCATAAGCCATTCATATCTAGTCTTTAGTCAGAGGCACTCTATATGAGTTGTAATACTTCATGGGGCCACTAAGTGGTCACCAAGAGCCACAGAAAACCCTAGCTCTTTGCTACCCTCTAGTGACCATCTATATTTAATAGCCCTACCTTGGTGATGACCAAAATTTGACTCCAGAAGGGGTGGGCAAAATCCTTTCTGCTGTGCCCCTTATTCTGTAGGTGATTCCTAGCAGGATTATCTGATGTTGGGTCAGTTCTGATAGCATCCTAAACCTGAAACCCAAGTGATCAAAATACAAATGTTGCATTCATTTATCAAGCTATGTTCAAACAAATAAACCACGCTATGGTTTAATAGAATAACCTGGTTCACTCAGCTTGCTTAAACAATGTCTGGGTACTCTGAGCATAATGACAGAATACAGAGTTGGAAGGGACCTTGGAGGTCTTCTAGTCCAACCCCCTGCTCAAGGAGGAGACCCTATACTATATCAGACTAGTGCCATTGGTTTGTGTGTTTGTGTGGCATTTTAGGCTCTGCAGACAGTGAGCTTGGCAATTTTGTAATTTAAATACCTGGGGCTAAGGAGGATTCTCAAACATTTTAGAAAGATGATCTGAGTCCATAGCAATAAATGATTTATCCTATTTTAAACTTCACCTTTTCACCAAACGATATGCTGTTTGCTCTGATTCCCTTCAATCACTATTCCAGAGTATTCTATGAATGTAGCTAAGGTAGAGGTGGATAATGGCATTTCTAATCTTAATGTCCTCTTTCCTTTTGAATACTTTTCTGAAAAGGATTGTAATATACGACTGTGTCTGTATTTTGGATATATTCTTCCCAGTAAAACAGCTTTCACTAGCAGAGATTGTTAGATGTTCTCTGATATACAATCTTTTTGCTCAAGTATGATACTGTGCCAGACATTCTGGGTGGATTCACATCGCTTCCTCGATTTGGGGAATCTAGTTTTACATCATGCACTGAACAAAAGAACCCAAAGGGGTTGGGATCCCACAAAATGCTGAGTCGTTAACGCAACGGCAGCACCCTTACCCCCAATGCAAACTCAGCAGTCTTAGCATTTTATGCAAGGGTTGCATGAACAGAACCACGGACATATTTTAGGATAAAAGTTCAGAGAGGAAAACTACTTTTCCAGCTGTTGTTGGCTGGGCAATTGAACTGTCCGTTAAAATTTGGCATCTTTGTTTGAAAAGTGTCTCGTTTGATTGAGCGAAAGGTGACAAAAATGGGCATATTTCCCTAACAAGTTAAACAGGTAAGAGGAACTGAGTGGGATCAAGCCAGGGGCCATATTGTTCTGCCGTTTGTTTCTCACAATGGCACATAAGATGAAACAGGATACATGCTGCAGCGATAGAGGCCCCATCTTGATCCGCACACTGATTAAACTCCAAGTTGTTGAGCTACGATTTATTCAATTATTCACAACGTGCTAAACCGCAAACTTTGCTTTCTAAACTGTGAAGCCTGATTCCTTTATTTTAATCAAAAGCAAGCAAAGCCACACTGTGGCCTATTGGAATGCATGAATAGGCAAACCAAGCTATCAATAACAATTAAAAACCAGCCATTTATTAAGTCCATCTTAAATTGTATGGAGGAAGAATTGATGGTGAGTTCAAGTTCCATCTTGGACATGAAAGCCGGCTGCGGGATCCTGGCCCAATTCCTCTCTCTCAGCCCAACCCACCTCACAGGGTTGTGGTTGTGGGGAAAATAGGAGGAGGGAGGCATGTTGGATACGTTTGCCTCCTTGAGTTATTTATAAAATATAATAAAGGCGGGATACAAATAAATAAATAATGCCCCATATCTATAATGTGGTATGTGCTATGTGATGGCTGCATTTCTTAAGTGCCACAAAAGGAGATGCAATTTGAGTCTGCAATTTGAGTCATAAATCGTGATGGTTGTTAAGCAGGCATGGTCATGTGATGGCCTGCTTAACAACCGTCATGCCTTATGACCGAAATTGCAGGTTCGGTTACGGTTGTAAATTGAGGACTACCTGTACGCATTGGGAGAAAATGTGCGTCATGCAAATGGGATTTATAGCCATGCTGCATATGGAGTGTTCGAAAATAAAGTTCCATAGCCAGACTGATGCCCTAAGCCAGGGGTCTTCAAACCTGGCCCTTTTATGACTTGTGGACTTCAACTCCCAGAATTCCTCAGCCAGGCTGAGGAATTCTGGGAGTTGAAGTCCACAAGTCATAAAAGGGCCAGGTTTGAAGACCCCTGCCCTAAGCACAGCTCAACAACGGAAGTGAAATTGCCATGAGATGGAAACAGATATGTGACCTCATGATGTCTGCAACCCAAACTCCTGAAACTTTAATCACTCGTTAAACAATGCAGATTAAAGTCAAGCGCAGCGGATAAGGACAACTAATCAAAAAGTTTGATTAAACTCAGTGACGGCAGTGGAAGAGTTAAGGACACGGTAGGTAAGAGGGAAAAAAACCTGTGGTGTTTCCTTCCCCCCTTCCCTTGGTGCCCGTGCTTATTTTGCTTAATGGTTAATCCAGAGCTGAAGAGAGGCAAGCTGTCTTCCGGGAAATTCCATTCCCCCTTAACGATGCTTTCCGGTCTTGTGTATATTGTATGTGTGGGAGAGAATGAGAATAAGCACTGATGATTTGTCTGCAAATCTGGAGAGTCCTTCAGGCTTGCTGACCACTTCTTGTGCCTGAATGGTGTTACTTTGGCCACAGAGCAGTAATGTGTTTTGCTAGGTTAATCTAGGATGCTCAAGGCAAGTCAGGTTTTAGCTTCCTGTTGTTAGGACCGCACATGTTCAAAAATGATATGGAAGAAGGTGTTGATCTTTGCGCAAGCAGATCACCCCTCTGATAGTCAATGGAAACCTGGACGGCCAAACTATTCCTTGGTGAATGAATGAATGAATGAATGAATGAATGAATGAATCTCAAAGCAGCCCAGATTTCAGACTTCAAGGATAGTTGTACATTTCTCTTCCTCAGAAATTCACCAAATGAAATCTAACAAAATGAAATTCAATGGTGAAAAAAGTAAGGTTCTACATTTAGGCAAGAAAAACCAAATGTACAGGTATAGTATAGGGGATACCTAGCTCAATAGTAGTAACTGTGAGAGGGATCTTGGAGTCCTAGTGGACAATCATTTAAATATGAGCCAGCAGTGTGCTGCAGCTGCCAAAAAAACCAACACAGTGCTGGGCTGCTTTAACAGAGAGATAGAATCAAGATCATGTGAAGTATTAATACCACTTTACAAGGCCTTGGTAAGGCCACACTTGGAATACTGCATCCAGTTTTGGTCACCACGATGTAAAAAAGATGTTGAGACTCTAGAAAGAGTACAGAGAAGAGCAACAAAGATGATTAGGGGACTGGAGGCTAAAACATATAAGGAAAGGTTGCTGGAATTGGGTATGTCTGGTTTAACGAAGAGAAGGACGAGGGGGGACATGATAGCAGTCTTCCAGTATCTCAGGGGCTGCCACAAAGAAGAGGGAGTCAAGCTATTCTCCAAAGCGCCTGAAGGCAGGACAAGAAGCAATGGATGGAAACTAATCAAGGAGAGAAGCAACCTAGAACTAAGGAGAAACTTCCTGACAGTTAGAACAATTAACCAATGGAACAAGCTGCCTCCAGAAGCGGTGAATACTCCAACACTGGAAGTTTTTAAGAAGAGATTGGACAGCCATTTGTCCAAAATGGTGTAGGATTTCCTGCCTGAGCAGGGATTGGACTCGATGACCTCCAAGGTCCCTTCCAACTTTATTATTATTATTATTATTATTATTATTATTATTATTATTATTATTATTATTATTATTATTATTATTATTATTATTATTATTACTACTACTACTACTACTACTACTACTACTACTACTACTACTACTATTATTATTATTATTATTATTATTATTATTATGAATCATCGCACAATCAGCCAGATGTTCAGACTGGATTTGGCATTTTGTCTACCTATCGGGTCCTTCCCAAGGACCTGGGATAGGCAGATGTGGATGTTTGATGTTGTTGTTGTTGTTGTTGTTGTTGTTATTATTATTATTATTATTATTATTATTATTATTATATTGCTAAATATGAACATGAATTTGGGCAAACTCTGGGAGATTGTGGAGGCCAGGGGAGCCTGGCATGCTATGACCCATGGAGTCATAAGAGTTGGACAGGACTTAGAGACTGAATAACAACAAAATAACTATAAAAGTAGAAGCTAAATAATGCTTCAACGCTAGTAGGAAATTCCAGGTAGAATTTTGTGAGCTCTAAGAGGAACACAGGTCAACTTCTGGGCTGCACTGGTCTGCTCTGCCAAGTGCTAAAAAAAAACAACTTGTAACATGAGCTGTGGTGGCACAGTGGTTAGAATGCAGTATTGCAGGCACTCTCTGCTCATTGCCCGGTGTTCAGTCTTGGGCAAGGTTGACTCAGCCTTCCATCCTTCCAAGGTTGGTAAAATAAGAGCCCAGATTGTTGGGGGCAATAAGCTGACTCTGTAAACCACTTAGACAGGGCTGTAAAGCACTATGGAGCGGTATGTAAGTCTAAGTCCTATTGCTATTGTTCTTCCTTTCTGATCTTAGGACTTGGGGATTGGACCCAAAGGCCCCTGGGCCTGAAGAGCTTGATTTCCAAGCAGACAGCTGAGCAGCTTTGATGATTAATTGCTTTTAAAATGGCGGAAAAAGATGGTGAGTTGAATTGTAGAAAAAGAGAAGGAAAGGAAAAACCCCCAATCTTACTTTCCTCCTGTAAATCCTCAACCCTCCCACCATCTTTCTTGTTTCTAGAGCATTTTCCAGCATTCAGGAGAAGTGCAAAGCTGTCTGCTCACAAGGGAGACCTCTTTCACCTTCTCTCTAATCTGATAATTATAATAATAAGCTCCCCGCCTTGTTTTTGCTTTAGGTTCAAAGGTGGAGTTTCTGAAGAACATCTAGAAAATGAATTATTGTAATAACACTGTATAGTGTTCACACACACATACAAAACCATGCCATATAGCTTGTTGGCTTTTGGCTTAGCATGGAATATAGAGTGGCACCTTGGTACTCAACTGCTTTGAAACTCATTGAATTTGGTACTCAATGCATTCTGATGTGAACATTTTGTTCCTTACTCATCGTTTGTTTGGTATTCAGCTTGTCGGTGTCAGCTGCCTTGTAACTCACTACGTTATTCCTTATGGGAAAAATTGTTAGATATTCATCGTTTTTGGTACTCATCGTGCCTGCTGGAACTAATTAATGATGAGTACCAAGTACCACTGTATACCCATCCTCATGGCCTTCATATTAGGATGGTGACAAACATCCTAGGTTGGCGTTATGTACAAAGGCAGGTCCTGGTCCTCTTGGATGATCACCCTGTTTCTCCCTTTCCTTTCCCTAATTTGGGGAAAACCTTTTCTCTGTTATTAATGGCATCTGGGGAGTTGTTTTTCAACACCCGCTTCTGCCTGATGGGCACAACTCTGAGTTTTGCTGTCTGATGATCTCTCTGCCTTTCAGAAGAACTCAAAGCATGCAGCTGGACTCTGCCTAAAGTCATGGCACTGGGAGTCAGCACCTTCCTGCTGCTGGCTGGAATCGGAGCTGGGATTTGGGCAATAGGTAAGATCCCTTGGGAGTCAGAGAGGATTTATTTATTTAAAACATTTATATATCGCTCCATCTTACACCAAACTCTGGCTGGGTCCCAGTCAAGAAATTGGGGTTGTGTGTGATGTACAATAAAACCAGTAATTCTCAACTGGCAGGAATGGGGATAGGCATGGAAGTGAAAAACACTTGCATACAACAATAGGCTAGTAAAGCATGAAAGCTGGCTGGGTGATTTGGGGCCAATCACCAGGAGACAGTGAGTTCTAGTCCCACCTTAGGCAAGAAAGCTAATCATTGGGCCAATCATCAGTTGACTGTCAGTTCTACTCCAATCATCACATTGGGCCAATCATCAGTTGACTGTCAGTTCTAGTCCCACCTTAAGCATGAAAGCTGGCTTTGGGTCAATCACTAGGAGACAGTGAGTTCTAGTCCTGCCTTAGGCATGAAAGCTGGATGGATGACTTTGAGCCAGTCACTCTCTCTCAGTCTACCCACCCTATTTCCATTGTGAAGAGCAAGCATTAACTTCTGTAGAATATTGATTTTGCCTTTCTTGTCCTTCTCTTCCTGCTGACCAATGTTCTAATCAATCTTATTATCTCCCACTACAGTAGTGTCTGTGCTTGGGAGTGAAAAGGAAAGCTTATATGCGGGTGAGTATGTGTCAAAAGGCTGTGAGCTCTTCCACCACCTGTGACGTAGCCTCACCTTTTCCAGCCTGATGTCTTCAGAAATGGTGGGATGGCAGCTTCTCCAATTCCCACCCAGTCTGATTAAAAAGCAGCTGTCAAATATGGTAGCTCAGCAACAGATGGGATCAGCCAGTCTACCTGGGAGCAACCAAGGGGAAGGGGCAGGGATGGTCCTGGTGAAAAAAGCAAGGTTCTACATTTAGGCAAGAAAAACCAAATGCACAGGTATAGTATAGGGGGTACCTTGCTCAATAGTAGTAACTGTGAGAGGGACCTCAGAGTCCTAGTGGACAATCACTTAGATATGAGCCAGCAGTGTGCTGCAGCTGCCAAGAAGACCAACACAGTGCTGGGCTGCATTAATAGAGGGATAGAATCAAGATCACGTGAAGTATTAATACCTATTTACAATGCCTTGGTAAGGCCACACTTGGAATACTGCATCCAGTTTTGGTCACCACGATGTAAAAAGATGCTGAGACTCTAGAAAGAGTACAGAGAAGAGCAACAAAGATGATTAGGGGACTGGAGGTTAAATCATATAAGGAACGGTTGCTGGATTTGGGAATGTCTAGTTTAATGAAGAGAAGGACGAGGGGGGACATGATAGCAGTGTTCCAATATCTCAGGGGCTGCCCCAAAGAAGAGGGAGTCAAGTTCTTCTCCAAGGCGCCTGAAGGCAGGACAAGAAGCAACGGGTGGAAACTAATCAAGGAGAGAAGCAACCTAGAACTAAGGAGAAACTTCCTGACAGTTAGAACAATTAACCAGTGGAACAACCTGCCTCCAGAAGCGGAGAATGCTCCAACACTGGAGGTTTTTAAGAAGAGACTGGACAGCCATTTGTCTGAAATGGTATAGGGTTTCCTGCCTGAGCAGGGGGTTGGATTAGATGACCTCCAAGGTCCCTTCCAACTTTACTATTATTATTATTATTATTATTATTATTATTATTATTATTATTATTATTATTATTATTATTATTATTATTATTATTATTATTACTACCTTTGTTCTGTTCAGTTCAGGTGAATACCGAGGACCTGCGCCTGACCATGTATGATGAGACTGAAGGGAAGTGGAGACTCCTTTGTTCTTCTTCATCTGATGCCCAGGTGGCAGCTCTTAGTTGTGAGGAGATGGGATTTGTCAGGTACACCAGAAACCTGGCAGTGTTGACAAAGTCTAGAGGGGCTTGAGAGGGGGAGGTGAGAGGCATAGGCGAAGGTAGACTGGTATAAGTCAACCTAGGCAACTGGGCTTGTAGAGTTGCTCATGTTGATTCGGTCATATTGATTCAGTGTGATTCCAGCTCTCCTAAGCTATAATGCTTGGATCTTTTCATGCCATTGTAAGATTGTCCCCAGAGATTAGGTGGAGTCCAGTGGCACCTGAATCTACTTGTTGTCAATTTGTTAAATAAAATTGGATCTGTGCTATAGAAACAGATTGTTATCTCAAAAAGAAAAAAAGAACACCCGTTCATACACATTCATATCTCTCTTTGATGGAATCCCATAAACATGCACCAGGAATAGTGGGTCAGAAATTAGGGGAGACACCTCCTAAATAAAGATTTCCCCAAAGCAACAGCTGCTTTGGGCTCAGTGCTACCGCTTCCCAAAGCATAGAAAACGCCGTACTCTAATGAAACCTTACCAAGTCATTGGTTGGATGCTGATTTTTTGGGGATTTGTCTCTCTCTTCCAGATCTCTCTCCCATTCAGTCCTGGATGCAGACGCTGTAGGTGCCAACGGAACATCAGGCTACTTTTGCGTGGATGACTCTCGCCTGCCTTTTGTGAGAAAGCTTAGAGAGGCCATTGGGGTGTGGTAAGGACCACTTGCTTCCTCCTACCTTTCCTTTGCTTAAATACTTAGACCTTCCCAGCCTTGAATGTATAGGGTAACACCTAGTATTTCTAGCTAGCCTGGCCAGAGGGCAAGAACGATGGGAACTGATGCTGCCTAATACACCTAGCAACTCCTAATGACAGAAACCTGAGCAGGGGGTTGGACTAGATGAGCTCCAAGGTCCCTTCCAACTTTATTATCATTATCATTATCATTATCATTATCATTATCATTATCATTATCATTATCATTATCATTATTATCAACTTCTGAGTTAAGGAATGCATTTATTGATTGATTTAGCAAATTTATATATCGGCCCAACTCATTGAGCATGACTCTGGGCTGCATATAGCCAAGAGTAACAAATAAAACAATGTAACCCAGTACAATAATTAAACCTAAATAAAACATATAACCCAGGGTTGTGGGAGAATGAGTCACCTAAACAGAACACTGTACAGCTACCTCAGAGGCTTTCCAGGAGATCCTGCAAAAGGTTACATTTTTAAGGGCTTTCTAGATGGTTAGGAAGGATGGGGCTAACCCCCCCTTGGGGTGAGTGGGTCAGGGAGATGATATTCCACAGGATGAGAGTCAGAGCAGAAAAGGCATGTGTTCTGGGTTCCATCAGATGGGCTTCCCTGGAGGACGGGACTTGTAACATCCCCCCCTCCCTGTTGGCCCCGATGGGATGGATAGATGTAATTGGGAAAATATGATGTCACCCTTGCCAGGTAAACAGATAGTGATCACCACCAGATGAGCCAATCCATTTTATTGTAAAGCTACGTTGACAAATTTTACAAGTCTGAAAGTACAATTCTCCCCCCATCTTCTTTACAGCCTGAGAAAGAGAAAGGTTTTTTTTTTCTGAGCCTCTTGCCTCACCCATTATTCACCTGTGGGCTCTACTGTCTTATATTTAATCATTCTCTTGGTGGAGTCTCTTCGCCCATTCTCCCAAACTCTTGCCTACTTGCCATTACAGCTGGTCACTCAATAGCTGGTTCCTATTGCACATTTCATGCTTTATCAACCTAGAAATAAAGCATGATGCATGTTGCATGTTTTGAATCAAGGTGGATATGACCAAGGATTGTGAGATTTCAAAGCATCTTGAGAGCACAAGGTTGTTTTGGCGCATAGGCATGGAGAATAATTTTTGGTCCAGGACTTGCTTAGAAGTAACATGATATATAGTAGCTATTTTCTCTAAATTATCTTGCCCTTGCATCGGAGACCAATTGGTGAACGTGAAGTCTATAATGAAAGATCCCTGGGAACTGAATGTAGTCAGTCCATCATCATTTAAGAAAATCAAAACTAGAGATATTCTGTGTCCCACAGAAAATTCAAACTGCAAAAATTGGGAGTTCACACTTTTCTTGACAATGCCTCTTACTTCTCCTTCCGTAGACTTGAGTTTTCTTCTCTTTCTCACAGTGATTGTCTGACAGGCCGGTTCCTGGCAACTCTCTGTCAAGGTATGGAAATCACAAACTATTTCCAGGGTATTTTTAGCCATCTTTCTCTGCCCCCTTCCTGTCCAATCGATGCCTTTCTGTCTCACCTTGACCTTTCTCCAAATCTTTCTCAGATCCTCTCTTATTCACATGCTACATCCAACTTTCCTGTCTTCTGATTTGCTCAAAGCTAGATTCTCCTCTGGAGCTTGTTGGTTTCATCACAAGTGCCCAGCTGGGTTATTTTGATATCCTTGGTTTTCATGAATTTCATTCACGAAGGTATGTGGGATACAAAGTTGCATCAGAATGGATATTAACTATTGTATGCTTTGCAGACTGTGGACGCAGGAAGTTATCCGCAGACCGGATTGTAGGTGGCCAAGATGCCAGTTTGGGTAAATGGCCCTGGCAAGTCAGCCTACGCTACGATGGGACACATCTTTGTGGCGGCTCCATCATCTCAAAGGAATGGGTAGTTACAGCAGCTCATTGCTTTCCAGAGTAAGTCCCGGACTAGATATGTGTATAGCAGTGATGGCGAACCTTTTAGAGACCGAGTGCCCAAACTGCAACCCAAAACCCACTTATGCATCGTCGGTGTGGCCCATTGGGTGGGCGTGGCCCATTGGGTGGGCGTGGCTGCAGTAGTAACGGCAGACTGGGTGGGACTAAAAAGTTCAATCAATCAATTCCAACTTTGCAAGATCTTTTTTTTTCCGCGAGAAGTTGAAATTGAGTGATTGAACCTTTTTTTTTTTGCACACGGCGGCGGAGGCCTATAGCGAAAAGGTTTTATAAAACCCAGCTGAAGGCCTAGGACTGGGGTGACCGCGCGCGTGCCCACAGAGAGGGCTCTGAGTGCCGCCTCTGGCACCCGTGCCATAGGTTCGCCACCACTGGTGTATAGAATGAGATCCAGATTTGTAATATTGATTGTTCTTAAGAGTTGACCTGATGTTTCTGAGTGCTCACTAGGGAGGAATGCCAACTGCTGATGAGCAATTTCGGAGTTCAGAAGTGTTCAGCTTTCAATCCCTAGAATTCTAAGCCCACCGCCATGCCAGCTGGGGAATTCAAGGAAGCCCTCTAAAATGCACCCTGATTTATTGCTAATTATAGATTTTACTCAAAAAGCATTTACGCTGGTCTCTAAGGCCATGAAGATTCCTCAGCTTGTTAAGATTGTGACCTTAGGAAGGGGTCCTAAGTCAAAATACAGTTGGTTAGCTCAAGCTTAGCAGACTGTGAACTCAGACAATTGTGGCTTATTTCTTAGGTTTCGATGGAATAAATGAACATTTTGGGCAATGTGTAAATCTAGCCACAAGGCTGCTCATAATATCAAAGTGCTACTGAAAAAGAGACACTCCCCCCAAACACCACAGGGCTGTTGTTTTTGCATTTTGAAGCAAATGAAATAATACATCTGGGCAGGGTTAGCACCATGTGCTCTGCTTGGCCATAAAAGCCATTTTCTGCCTTTAACAAGCCAGGCCGCCCCCCAAAATACCAACCATAACCAAGGTTACCAGGAATCAAGTTCAGCTTGTGATGTGAACGCAGCTGCTATAATCTTAAATTAATTCACGTAAACCTGCTAGATCTCAAGAGATCATTAAATTCAAAGTCCCACTGATCCCAGCTGCCGTCCAACCTTCTTCCCCTTTGGGATCTGTTTTGCAGGAGGAATCGCGTGGTGAGTCGCTGGCAAGTGTTCATGGGTGCCATATCTCAGCAATCCACTAGGGGGCTGCAGATGGATGTGGCCGGCATTGCGTACCATGGTGGGTACAGACCCTTTGTGGACCCCAATAGTGAGGAGAACAGCAATGACGTTGCCTTGTTGCGCTTGGCCACACCACTCTCCTTCAATGGTGAGAATATTTGGGGGCAGGAGTTGTTGGGTCATGACATCACAATGCAAAGTCCACCCATCCTCTATTTGTGTGCAAAATCTCCACATTAATATGGATGAATGGAGAAGAAAGAAGTATTAGGTATATTTGCTGCCTTATTTATAAAATAATAAAGGCAGGATTTTTTAAAAAAATCTTAAAAATGGTCTGAGATGTCCACCTTGCCCCTGGCCATTTTCTCCCTAACGTTGTGGAAGACCAGCACCATCTAGTGAGAATTGCGTTGAAAGTCACTTTTCCTTTGAGCAATTTCTCCAATTCACAAATTCTCTCTTCCAGTTGGTTTAAAAAAGAAAAGTCAGGAGAAATTTTTGGCACACCACTCACAGAAGCAACTTGCCACTCCTGACCACGAGCCAGGGAAAGAAGAATCCTTCCCGAGATAGCAATGCATTTTGGGTTTTTTTTATTTACAGAATTTATTCAGCCCATCTGCCTCCCAGCATTGGGGCAAACTTTGGTGGATGGCAAGATCTGTACTGTGACGGGATGGGGCAACACACAATACTATGGTAAGGGCCTCTTGCTGCCTCAAGATGGCAGTAGTGTTTGCACAGTTGGAGTTTACAATCAAATTGTGTGAGAGCTTAATTGAGTTGAAAAGTTCTGCATTTTGGGGAAGGGAAGGGAAGGAAAGGAAGGAAAGGAAGGAAGGAGAAAGAGAGAAAGAAAAAAAGAAAGGAAAGGGAGGGGGGATGCAGGCAGGCCTGGCCAAAAGGAAGAAAATACACACAAAATAAAGAGAGTATTTATAATTGCCCTGCATAGACCTATATCTGCTCATGAATGTAAGCCTCACAACTGCCATAAAGCTACCAGAGAAATGTTTTCTTTCCCTGTTTCCCCTAGCATTTTATATAGGTTACAGAATTTATATATTACTATTCATTTATCATGTATCATTACATTCTTGTTGGCACCTAAGACACACAATGAGATGCCAGTTTTTGCTTCTCGCTTCTCTTTGAAGATACTGGAGTTTGTAGACCTCTTTGTGTAATAACAGTGGAACACATATAAACTCACATAAATCGGCCTCAGTGGATTGGAAGAGAAACTAGCCGGTCTCTGTTCTGATGCTGGAGCCAAAGTAGCTCAGGAAAAAATGAAACTGAAGATCCTTGCTTTAATTGAGGCTTCACCAAAGCTGCCCGGTTACTCGTGCTGCTTTTCAGTGGAGATGAAGACATAACTCTTTTCTCTAGGTGTTTGGCTTTCAGTCCAGAGGTCCTTCTTCTCTGCTTAAGGAAAATGTAAAAACAAAAACAAAAAAACGTTTGGAAAGACCGTGGGTTGTTAATAGAACATCTCATATCCAAAGTCCAACTAAATGGATCTGAAAACAAGCCTGAGGTCCTGTCTAGAGAACATCTGATTCTAGATGTTGATGAACTACAACTGCCAGTGTCCCTTGCGGCCCAGCACTTCTGAATCATAATTCAGGAAGGGGAAAGGACTCCCTACCCCTGACCTATACCCATTAAAGCTGGATAAGGCAGATGCCAGCAGTTTCCACAATAGAAAGAACAATTATGCGCTATAGATTAGCTCCCTTCCGAGGCTATTAAGAGAATGGGCAAGGGTTTACTGATCATGGACGAAGGAAAAAGACTAAATGTTAAATCCAGAACTGTAGGTTTATATAAGGGGTTTGATTTCTAAGTACTGCAGTGATCTATCTTTTCTGCCTATGTGGCTTTATTCTTTTCTGCAAGAAAGGGTCTAATCTTGCTGAGTTATATTCAGATACTTCCTAGAGAAAGCGATAAGTAGCCGAAGAAGGTTTACATTGGGGCCTGGGGGAAGCATGGCATCAAGAGAGAACTTGCCAACCACTGCAAAACTGTACTGAGCTGATGGAAGCACCCAGGGCTGTCCTGCACAAAGGCAGCTTCTCACTACTCCCTCTTTGTAGGCCAACAGTCTGATGTCCTTCAAGAGGCCAGTGTCCCCATCATCAGCACCAGTGTCTGCAATGGCCCCGATTACTATGGCAGTCAGATAAGGCCCAGGATGTTCTGTGCTGGTTTTGCAGCTGGAGGCACAGATGCTTGCCAGGTAGGGTCGGTTTGGCATGGTGAAGAAGGAGTAGGATATTGTAGATGAAAAAAAGGGGTGCATTAAGAGAACTTCTGATCTGTCAAGCATAGTGAGGGGAACGTGTGGGCAATTTTCTTTGATGCAAAAAGTAATCCCGGAAAAATACACTAAGCTTGTCTTAGATTCAGTTTAAAAAATATAGTGTTTCTAGAACTGATAAATTTAGCAATTGTGAACAACCTATTCTCTGTTACAGTGAATCCATTCACCCAATTTTGCGTTAAGCTCTTAGAATTGAACTTGGTGCCCTCTAGAACTGGGTTTCTCAACTTCGGCCATTTGAAGATGGGAGGACTTCAACTCCCAGAACTCCCCAGCAAGCCATGGCAAAGCCACACCCACAGCAAATGATTGGTTCACTTAATGACCATGATGCTCACTTAATGACTGCCACAAAAAAGGCCATTTTACATCTTTTACGACCCACAACCGTAATGGGTACGCTTATGGTCATAAGTTGAGGCCTACTTGTAATATTCTAAACCTAAAAACCTAAACTTTCTTTTGTTATCTTGTTTCTGTCCGCCATAATAGCTTTCCTTGACTTGATGTGGATGGATTAAAACTCCCAGCATTCCCAGACATCCAGGCCATGTGGCCTTTGAATTCTGGGATAGCCGTACAGCAAATATGGAAGTGAGGATGATGCGTACATGCAGGTTTTCATTTTAACCTAGGTTTCTTCCACATGACAGGGTGACAGCGGTGGCCCTTTTATGTGTGAAGACAGTATTTCACAAGTGTCACGTTGGCGGCTGTGTGGCATTGTGAGTTGGGGCACAGGCTGTGCCCTGGCCAATAAGCCTGGTGTCTACACCAAGGTTAACGATTTCCACGGGTGGATCCACCGCATGATGAAGGTAAATAGCACATGAATGGGGAATGCTCCAGAGACGTTGCTGGGGGAATCTGTGGTTGTGCTCACACAAAATGTTTAATCAACGTGCTAAGTTTGGCTTAAATGTTGGTTAACTGGCAGGAGGACACAAAATGTTGGGCAAACTCAGCCTGTTCGATGAGTTTGTTTCTGTGTATGCACAAACCATCAAAATGGATTAATTCAGTTGCAACGTGAAGTATTTTATAGCAACACAATCAGTAAATGAGGTTGTTTTATTTCTCTCCCTACCCCCCAGTGTGATTCCAACGTGATCTAACCTTCCTCTTGGCTCCTCAAAGCCTCTCTGCCCCAACACCGAAAGTTTAGGGGAACAATTGCTGAAAATCAGTAACACAATTTATTTCCAGATTTGAGGTAGGAAGTAAGAAAACCTGTATTGTAAGCCCTAACATAGTAAAAAAAAAAAATACAGCTTAATGAACCTATAATGTCCCCAATCACCAAACCAGATACCTCTTCAATAAGGTGGAGAGAACAACAGTCAGAAAGTTTCTGTCTTAAACACAAACAGAAATCCCAAAGCTGCTTTTTTTTTTTTAAAGGCAACTGGACTTTCTTTGTTTTTCCTTCAGTCAGAACTGAAGAAGCTTCTTGGATGAGAAGCAAAATGTCTTCAAGGAAAAATAAAGAAAGTCCAATTGCATTTTTGGAAGGAAAAAAAAAGCATCTTTGGGACAACCATGACCTGGATGACTGAGAATCTCCATAGGCATTTACAAACAGATATATTGCTTACAAATTAAAACTAATCCACTTGCTTGCATATCATTACTGCTTTTGCTTTAATGAAGTTTGTGAAAGAGAAAGTGACAAGATTGAGACTGGAGAAATAATTTTCAGCTTATGCAGCTCTCTAGGATTTGATACCATGTTTACCACAGTCCTTGTCTAATCAAGGGTAGATGGTGGGGCAGTTAACTCAATAGTCAAACCTTCCCTTCTGAATTAGCGATTGACCCCCATTGCTTTAACAGTGATTCCCCGTCACTGATCTGAGTAACTGGGGAAAGAAATAGAATGTGGACATGGATCAGTCCTTCTTTTAGTTAATTTTCATCACCAGAATTCCATGAGTTGAAAAACCCAATTCAGCTAATATTCTTTTGATGTGTTTCATATGTTATTCCTATGGAGATGATGGAAGTCAGAAGTTACAATATCTGAAGCCTCTCAGGTTGAGGAAAGCTGGACAACTTTCCTGCCAACTGGAGAGGCTTCCTGTACTTTTTTGTTTGTTTGTTTGTTTGTTTCTTTTCTGCAGACTAACTCCCACATTAGTGGGTTGGTGATTGAGAAATGAAATGCATGGAACTGGCCTCCTCCCTTTCCAGTGAATTGCTGCTTTAAAAAGAAGAATCAAGGAAGAAGAGGGGGTGTCAGAATCCAATTATATTTCAATTCTAGCTACCGATTCTGAAAAAAGATCCATTTCTTACTCTTTGTGGATTCTGTCATACTACGAAAGGGGAGGAGGGAGCAAAGGGGTTTATGACTCTCACTTCCTTCATTAAAACTTCAAAGGGACTGAATGTGGATCTCACCAAGAGGACTGACCATAACAATATGGCCATAGCCTTTCATCTACTATCCCTCTGAAGCCTCCCTTCTGCCGGCAGTGAGGAAAAAGGGGTGGAAATGTAATGCCTGGGATCAATCGCTGGAAGGACGGTGGGGTGGGGGCTGCTTGGGAACACTTAAAACATTGAATGGTAGGGGTTGGCCCCTTAGATCCTGTCTAGAATGCCTGCAACCATCTTCTCTTAATAAAGATGCCTGTTGGAAGAGATATTCCAAGAGTTCTGTCTTCTTAAGATGTAAAGTGGGGTGGGTCCTTACAGGGGGGAAAGGAGGAATGAACATACCGTACCTTTGGCCTGGCCAAATGAGCAGAATGGGACAGAAAAGTCTTTGCCAATTGCTAAAGCTGTCATGGCTTATTGGCTCTTTAAGGCTACCTTGTCTTCATGGTGCTTCTGCAGCGGCTATCTATGGATGAGTTGAACAGAATAACAGATTTGGAAGGCACCTCGGAAGGCACCTTCTAGTCCAACCCCCCTCCCTGCTCAAGCAGGAAACCCTATACCATTTCAGACAAACGGTTGTCCAATCTCTTCTTTAAAAACCCCACTGTTGGAGCACCCACAACTTCTGGAGGCAAGCCTGATTAATAGTTGTAACTTCTCCTTAGTTCTAGGTTGGTTCTCTCCTTGATTAGTTTCTATCCATTGGAAACTAATATTCTGTGACCAGTTTCCCAACGGATTTGTAATTGGTTAAGGAATGGCTTCAAGGTGGGTTCCTGCAACAGAAAAATCACACACAGAGCACTGTGACTTTAATGGATGCACATGTATTAAAGGGTTATAATAAAAATCCTATATTCCAATAGATCATAAGTTGAAGGCCAAAGCACAAATCTGAAAATTGGTTAGTATGCAACCTTGGCTCTTTTATGACTTGTGGACTTCAACTCCCAGAATTCCTGAGCCAGCCATGCTGGTTCAGGAATTCTGGGAGTTGAAGTCCACGAGTCATAAAAGAGCCAAGGTTGCCTACCCCTGGTATAGTGGTTAGTGTGCCATTTCACATCAATTCATTTTCAGTAGATGGTCATAACAATGTATCCCAATAGACTATTTTATCGTTCTTTGATTCTGGAGCTTTGTTGTCCAAACTTCTTTAGACCAGCCCTTTTCAACTTGATGTGCCTCAGTTGTGTGGATTATTGTTTTCATCATTCCTTGTCACAAGTTGTGCAGTTATATCCTTCAGATGTGTGGGAGTTCAAAGACAGTTGGAAAAGCTTGCCCGCAGTTCATTGTGTCCACATCACACATTCTAACTATGGTGCCACCACGGCTCTTTTAAGTAATTGTTAATGATGAGTTATCAGCTAGGTACAATGGACATCCAAGAAAGTCTGTTTATCATATCTTCATACATTGTATATAGATGACTCTATTGACTGTCTTCAGTCTTACCTAGTCTTGTTCACTCAGATTGTGTATATTTCATACTTGCAATGATCTCAATAAAAAAAACCTGGTTTTAACAGTGGGCAGTTCTTGAATGTTCATGTAGATTTGAATAGATTTCCCTGAGAATCCCTGTTGAAAATGGGGTTCTCCAAGTCACAAGTCAATTTAACTAAGACTTACGTCTCATAAGAGGTGTATTTTTTTCAGTAATAGCTCACCAATATCCTTGCAAGGAAAGAGAAATATTTATTGCATGATTTGAACAGCAGAGGACAGCAAACCGTAACATTTGCTTCAATTTTCCTAGGTTTTTTATTTTTATTTTTTACATATTTGGGTATTTCACATATACTGACTTTTATTCTCAGAACTTTCTTGCCTTTGGAGAACAATTTCTGTTTAGGCAACCATGTCTTGGTGAGCCCATTTAGAGATTTTCATTCTGGAATGCTCAATATACATTGAAATTGTCCAGGACAATCATGGTTGCACCCTATACCAGGATCTCCATAAATCTTCTCCATGACACGTCTAATCAATCTTTGGTTCCTTATGTTCAGCTTTCAATAGTTAGCACCCTTCACTAATTTCAGAATGGCTGGAGAGGTCACTGTGTCTGCTCAAGGAGCTAGTTCTGGGTAAGCAATGCCCTTTTTCTTTCTTTTCCCAGAGTGGCAGGATAATAAGGATTAGCCTGCTCTGAGGCCCCACAGCATGTGGGAACAATGCGAGTGTTGCAGGAGAGAGATTGGACATCCGCTTAAGGGAGAGGAACAGAGCACAGAATAGTTAATGACTTGTTAATGATTAACTGGACCCTTTTTTTCGCCCAACATTACTAAACCAGCAGCCAGGAATGCCCGGCAGTTAGGGTCCAAATGAGGAATTAAATAATTAATCTATTAGTCTATATTAGCTTCTCACCTACAAATCTACTTTCTGTTCATGGCAGTTTCTCATATATTTGATCTTAAACCCATTCCGTTCCTGGTGAGTTTTGCTTTCTTTCTTTCATTAAAAAGCAAAGAACATTTGCTTTGCTTTTCCCATGAAATGTATGCATTTCCTCTAATGCAGATAGTCATTGACTTACAACCCAGGGGGGCGTTTTATCAGGTACGCCTGATTCACCAGTTGCGGCCTTTTCTGGACCGGGACGCCCTACGCACGGTCACTCATGCACTTGTCACCTCCCGCCTGGACTACTGTAATGCTCTCTA